ACCAGGACAAAATCCACCCCAAAATTGCAACCTAGGACAAAATCCACCCGGACAAAATCCACCCCTAATAAATTCCACCCTAAGAAAAAAAAAATAATGACATGTTTAGTCACAGAAATGAATTTTATTCATATCAGTCATTCATAATCAATATTAAAAAAAAGGCTTGCAAAAACATCTTAATTCTTTAAGGGGATTACGTAATGATCAAAGTGTGAGACTACTTAATGATACATGAAAGAGGATTAAGTAGTGATCAAAATGTGACAAATGGAGAAACCTTTAATGTTTGAAACAACATCTAGGAACAACAGCCAATTAGGAAAACGAAAATGCTATCAAAACAATGCTTGCAATGCTTGAGCAAAACAACTTGATCAAAGATCAGGACACACTAAAACTTTTAACAATAGCAATTTGAGAAGGGTGGATTTTGTCCATTTTTTTTTTAAGAAGAGGTGGATTTTGTCCGGGGTGGCAATTTTGGGGTGGATTTTGTCCGGGTGGATTTTGTCCAGGTGGATTTTGTCCGGTCACCAGTTTGAATAGCAGTGTTGCTGGAATTGAATAGACTTTGAAATTTGAATGGTTTGTCTCGAGTATTTGGCTGTGCTCCAAGTGAGATATGGAGGGTTTTTCTATTGGGATAATTATGTACTGACACTTGCGAAGACAAAGGGGCTGCGCAACCGTTCAATCCCTCGAAACACGCACCTAACAACATTTGCCAACGGTGTACACAGTTTATAACTGATACTGTTTGCAAAAGCGAGTGCAGCTTAATAAGACGTGTAAGCTTGCATAATACTGCTTTCTTTGCCAGACTCTTTAGGCGATACGATTAACCACATGAACGTTGATTTCAAATGTATTAAAATATGTGAAAATGAAATAACATGAACCAAGTATGTCACGTGATGGAAACCTGTAATCATCTTGTTTGAGCACCGGTAACATGAAAATTTAGAATCCGTTCATATACACACCCTTGATGTCCGGCAAGATACATAGATTTCTAAACATTTGAAACATTGAAAATTGACATGTGTTTCCCAACCTGAGGAAATTTCCTTGCTTCCAACCCTAGTTAATTGCTACACATATAAGTTTGGTATTTTCTCATACAATGAGCTTCAAGAAATTCACATTAGATCTGTCTATACGTTGTAAAAAAGCTTTGATTCAAATATTTACTGTTTGTTCAAAACTTTGAAATGTTCCCCCAAATGTCTTTTTTAAACTGTTTGATTCTCAAATGTAACCAATTTTATATTTATACTTTACGGTTCAAAAGTATGGGATTCCAAAGATACGATTGTTCAGATGAAATTGACTTTTTGGCATGTAAAAAAATACCTTAGGGTCGGGCCCTCTACGCCGAATTTTATGGTACAGTGGAAACCTGATAAGTAAAATGTCAAGGGACTCGCCAAAAATTGTTTACTTATCAGGTATTTTAGTTATCCAAACTTATAAAAACCTGCAAATGACAACCATATGCATGTATATGTATGCATATGTAACAATGAACCACTTATCAGGGATGGCCTCCAGTTGTCAGTGTATTGTCAACTGCTTGACGCCAGCGAGCTGTAAACAGGATGTTTGTTTGACTGGAGACTGACACGACTGCCCCTCATGTCGGATTATGTGGTGATCGCTAATTTAGTTATTCAGTCTCTTTTGTTAAGTAATTTACTTCCAGGGACCGTGAGAAGACGTTTAGGTAAGCTGTATTGTTTACTTATCCGAGTTTAGTTAACCGGACTCTAATAGTGATAATTAATGAAGAAAGTTGCCGGGACCAAAGAAAATTGTTTACTTATCCGGTATGTTTAGTTAAGCGGTCTTTACTTAGGCGGTTTCCACTGTATATGATGAATGTGACAGATATCCACTACATGTAACTTCACAAATTAGATGCCTTAAATTCTGTTAAAACATTCAGGCCACCCAAGAATAACGTCTACCGAAAAAGCCTACACTATGCTCGTACACTTAGACAACGTTGGTAAGGTAACATAGGCGTCACACATTCAAAACCTTTTATTCTAATACGGTCATGGCATTGTCTGGTTGTCCCAGACAGTTGGAAATGTTCCTATATTTTTAACAAAATCAGGGAACGCTCCATAAATATATTTTTTCAAAATTGGCATTGGAATTTAAAAGAAAGTACACGATATGAATCTTACAGATCGTTTAAAAGTCATCTTGAACTCGAAAAATACTAACCTCTGGTACTGGTAAGTTACTCGAATTAGTTATTAGATTCAGATTGGGTTTGTCAGAATGTAAGATTCTCAATCAGACAATTGTGATAAATATGTTTGTGAGTACTTAACTCACACCAAAAGATGTCGACATGATTGAAACTTACAACAATGGGAGCAAAACGTAAGTCTGTCTCAGGTTTAACAGAACAAGATTGGCCAAGTTATACGCTGCGCGTCCTGGGAAAGGATGTTTGGTTCATCGTTTCTTAGAATCAGTGAGTTGTGTTGTGAAGCACTGAGCTTCACCGACTCTTAGAACTACTCCGCCACCCCATAAGCGCCATCCCGTTTGAAATCATCACCACCGATGATTTAGTTGGTTGGTTCGTTGTTTAACGCTGGACCGGACAATCCAGTGATCAACAACATGAGCATCGATCTACGCAATTGGGATACGATGACATTTGTCAATCAAGTCAGCGAGGGCGACCACCCGATCCCGCTAGTCGCCTTTTACGAGAAGCATGTGTTACTGAAGACCAATTCTAATCAAGATCTTAACGGGCTGTATGGGTGTCAGAAAGGTGCAGTTGACTCTCCCAGACACGGCGTCGTCATGTTAAGATAAGGAACAAAGCAACCGATGCCCTAAAATTGAATTTGAAACACACACCTGTGTATAATTGCCATGTTTGCGCATCACACAAATACTCACTATTCAAATATGAACATGTAAATACACATACACATGGCCTCCAGACAACAAGCAGGTTTGCTCCTTGTGCAAACCCATATGTGTGTAGATGCATTCAAATTACACGTGTCTAGCTTTTACATGGTGTGTAATTTACCTCACATATGTAAACAGATGAGAACGCTGTATAATAGTTCTTTGTGCTAGTGCTTTGTTACCTTGGGCTTTCAAGTGTATATACCGGGTATATGTTACAGTCAATCTGTCAAACCAGACTGTTCAACTATGTTGTTCAGCGAGGGGTATTTCCTTTACGCATTGACATAAAAGCTCAGAAGAGCGAGGTTACGACGACATGGGGAAAGTTTTCGCAATAAAACTTTCCGTCCATGCAACAACTTTCTAAGGTGGGGAGATGTTGCAATAAATTGGGAATATATAATTTTTAATAATGATTAATGTCTTCCGTTTAGCTTTGAGGCGAACGGTGTCTTAGATGTGGCAGTTATGCATATATGAATACTCAATGACTTTAGATAGTGGTCTAATGTGACAGCTCTAATATCCGGTATTACGCTTTCACTTGGGTGTGACAAACATATCTAAATAAAATGATTCCTATAATTTATGTTTTCAAATGTCTATATTAAAACCATTAAAGTGTTAGTGAGAATGTGAGTAAAGTTGTGTTTGAATTAGTGACTATGTCAGTGTTAAATATATCTGATGTCCACAGTGTCACACCTCTAATATGAACCTCAGTAACTCGTATGTAACACAATAACTTTTGCTTTTTTACTCAGGTATAATCTTGCTTGTGTCTTCTGCAGTTGCCTGACCCGTGTGAAGATCCGGGGCGGAATCGATCTTCAGTAACACATGCTTGTCGTAAGAGGCGACTAACGGGATCGGGTGGTCGCCCTCGCTGACTTGGTTGACAAATGTCATCGGTTCCCAATTGCGTAGATCGATGCTCATGCTGTTGATCAATACATTTGACATTTGCACTCAGTATGATATGACCGATATACTATTCAAAACGATGATAGAAAACTACCTCACTCTCATTTAACCCTAATATTTAAATTTTTACCCCGATCCTAGTATGAAAAGGGTACACTTTACGACGTTTTAGTACAATGTCGGAAAATATATGCTGCAGGGTTAAAAAAAACACCCATTAGTTTGGCTATATAATATGATATGGTCTCTGTTTTAACCAACTCAACTCCATGGGGAGTATTCAACTCATGCAGCCTGTTAGGCGCAGCGAGTTATCACACAGCCTCATCTTCACAAGGTACCCATTTGCAGCTGGGTGAACTGGGACATATAGTCCAATGAAACTGCACTTTACTGTATCCGCAACTAGATGTCTCGTGTTCGTGTGTCGACCATCTGGTCACTAACCGTCGGATAAATGGGTTCTTTTAAGTGCACAGGGTTGTGTACTGCACACTAGGGGTTGTGACAACACTGAAAGAGCCTGAAACTAATGTTAGCTCCAAGGTTTTTACACACGAGCACAAGTGGGGCGTTTATGTTAAAAGAAAACTATTGTTAAACATATTGGTTAAGGCAACGTTTATGTTAAAAACAAAATTATTGTTATACATAATTCTTAAGACATTGTTTATGTTAAATGAAAACCATTCTTAAACATAAACATATACGTTAAGGCATCGTGGAAAGGGTATTGTCGCTTCTATTATGTTAAAAGAAAACCATTGTTAAATATATTATTTAAGTCACTGTTTATGTTAAAAAAAACCCATTGTTATACATAATTATTAAGGCATCGTTTACGTTAAAAGAAAGCCATTATTAATCATATTGTATAAGGTCTCGTTAATGTTATAGCAAAATGGAACTAATCATCCACGGTGACATTATTGAATTAATCCATATTAATATTTATTATACGTTTAGCATAGCCCGTCGCACAAAACAAATTGTTTTCATGATACCTACCAAATTCAGGTCACCATTTAGTTTTCTTGGAAAATCGTACACACCATAAACAGACAAGAAAGCAATGACCGATGTTCGTCAACAAGCTGGCAACCCGGATGTAATAACTCCAGGCAGTGTCCTGCCCTGTTGGGAGATGTCGCAATAACCGTTGTTGCGTAAGCTTCTAAGAACTACATATAGCCGGATGTAACACGAGTATAATAAAAGTGGATATGTGCGTTGTGTTCAGTGTTGATTGTTCACTGCTTCTCGTTACAACATATCAAGGTAAGTACTCAGACGTTCATTTCGGCAAAGAGCCGTCGGAAAATGATTCTTGTATTCCAAGAGTTTTAGCTCCTGATTCGTGTGTACATTTCGTGGTAACAACTTATAATACAACCAGAAATTATTGAGAATTTAAGATTGTAATATTTTTCATTTTTTTCACTCATTACTCGCGTATTAAATGTGAATATTAGCAGAACATAACTCCAGATTCAAAGACAGGTGAACAGTTAGTATTTTGTCACCATGGGCAGCAATGCAGGCTTCAATGCGGCGGGGCATACTACTGATCAAAGAAGTTAGAAAGTCGTGAACAATGCTGTCCCAATATCGGACCACCTCTTCTTTCATTTCAGCAATATTTGTCAGATTTTTCTTATTGACACTTTCCTTCATAAGTCCCCAAACATTTTCTATTGGATTTAGGTCAGGGCTATAGCTTGGCCAATCTAATAATGTCATATTTTGGGTCCGAAACCAGGCCTGTGAATGCTTTGAACGATGTTTTGGGTCGTTGTCCTGCTGGAAAATCCAAACATTTCCATAGAACAAGTGAGCAAATGGAAGTAAATGTCCCTCGAGAATATCTGTGTATACCGCTCACTGTTCATATTCCCTTCAAATACACAGAGGGGTGTTGCCCCTAACACAGATATGCCACCCCACACGTTAAATTTCGGACTGTACTTTGGGCGCTGATACAAAGGTTTTTCAGTTTGTTTGGTCCAGAATTTCAGTGTATTAGGAAACAGCCACACAGAACTTTCATCTGAGAAAATCACATTGTCCCAGTTAAAATTTCTATGCTGTAAGCACCAGTTCAACCTTCGCTCCTTTTGTTCAGGTTTCATGATCGGTGATGGAATTCCTCGACTTTTCTGCCAACCCAATGCAAGCAGCTCAGTTGTAATTGCCTCCTTACAGACAGCCACAGTTCCTCTATCAATCATACCCAGCCTTAAGTTTTTTAAACTCCTTCGTTTGTTTTTAGAAACAAGAATACCAAGCCGCCTCCTGTCACCGACAGTCAATTTTCTGGGCCTCCCTGCGCTTCCCTGGTGCTCAATGCCATATCCATTTGCAATATTTTTCAAAACACGATAAACAGTGGACAAAGGGATGCCTGTTCTACTTGAAATCACTTTAGCTGATCTGATATCCTTGTTAAAATACTCTAAAATCAATTTCCTCTTCTCTAAATCATCCATACGGAGGATCACTGAAAATGTCGTCTGCTAGCAAGTAAACAAAGGGGGATAACTTCACAAACTAATGAAAAAGGATTGAATGAAGGGATACGAGTTGGGATACGATGACACGTGTCAATCAAGTCTGACCAGCTGATCCCGTTAGTCGCCTCTTACGACAAGTATGGTTTGCTGAAGACCAATTCTAACCCGGATCTTTACGGGTTGTACTGGTCTCACATCTAGTCTCCGAAATGAACTTATTTTACAGAAAAACAGTTCCTAAATTATAGTCATAAAATATAATGAAAAGGAGCCCAGAGACTTTCTTCATTTTTAGAAACTGTGGAAATCTAGACTTGCCACATATTCTAGACTTGCATGGGCTTTCTTGGATAAATTTGTTTCCGGGTCTGTATGACAGACATGGGTTGTACATACATGAGAGAACATGTTGACACCTATGGTTATGAAGACTAACACGTCACATTACATTGTGCAATTTCTGAAACCTTTTCATTTGAAGAAAAAGGCGGATTTGTAAACAGTTTTTCACCAGTCTTAACTTATACCTTGTAAGAAATTGGTCTTACTGAAACAGTGCAGTGAAGGAGCCATATTTCTGTTCTTCAGATTAGCCCAGAATGTCTCTTCCATCCCTCGTTGCTGTCGCTGTTGTTACGGCCTGTCTGCTGTACACGTCGTTCCCGGTGTCGGCCCAAAGTAAGTAAAGAACCTTTCGGATATTTTTATGTGTGTGTGTGTTTGTTATCTAACACCACACCTAACAGCATTTCAGCAACACAACAGCTATTTATATGTCCTTTGTCGAGTCCCAAGGAGGGACACCCCACGCATCCCAAGGAGGGATAGGTCTGCCGAAATGCCAGCAGGCGAAGGCGACCTCCAAAGCACATAACTGAAGAAGAAGAAAACAAGCACAGATTGTTGTTTGAATAAAAGAATAATCCAAACTGTTGGATAAGCATATCTTTCCTTCATCCCAGTGTACTTTGTGTCATACCAGTAATACAAAGTGTCGTTTACTATTGACTATGTACATGTATTTTGCGTAGATATGTTTATCGTAACAATGATATCAAGAGCTATTTACTGTTAATCTATATTCCTCGTACCGTTGATTAAAGTGCTGTGTAATGCTTATCTGAAAACAATTCCTTGTACTTTAATAATAAAGTGCTGTTTAATGATTGTCTTTATTCCTCGCAGCCACAATAAAATGTAATGCTTACTGCTAATCTTAATATAACCATTGTACCTTAATGATAAAGTGCTGTTAAATGCTTATCTTTATTCCTCGCAGCAACGTTTAAATGTAATGCTTACTGCTAATCTAAATATAATTCCTTGTACCATAATAATAAAGTGCTGTTTAATACTAATCTATATTCCTCGCAGCCTCACTAAAATGTAATGTTTACAGCTAATCTTAATAAAATCCCTTGTACCTTAATAATAAAGTTTTATTTAATGCTTATCTATATTCCTCTCAACCACGATAAAAAGTGATGTTTACTGCTAATCTTCATATAATCCCTTGTACCTTAATAACAAAGTTTTATTTAATGCTTACCTATATTCCTCGGTGACAAACAACGTTTCATACCTTTTCGAATTGTCTCATGGTTGTCAGTTGACAATAAGGAACCGATGAACCTGATTAAAAAAATCAAGTCATTTTCTGATTCAACTAAAAGTACAATCTCATCTGCGTATGCCAGGACCCCAATCTGTTTCCTCGTTGATAACGATACCCGCTGATAAATGGTTGGTAGATGTGAAAAGATCATTAATGTATAGGTTAAAAAGAATTGGCGAGAGTAAACAGCCTTGTTTTAGTCCACATTTTACATCAAACCACTCTGAATTGAGTTATACACAGCACTCGACTTGCCTATAAAGGGAAGCAATTGCGTTCAGCTTTCTGCCTTTTACGTGGTCTCGTGGTTGTCAGCTGACAGTAAGGAATCCTGCAGGAATAACAAATTTCCGATCTAACTAACTATAACGACTGTCGACTACTGTGACACCCAAGCATGGTTGTACACTTGATCCGGTCTAGTAAAGTCATATTTGGCGGTCGCGCAATTTGGAATCAGAACTGGTTCTTGAATATACGCTTGTCTCCTGAAATCTGGTACCGGAAGTAGGCTGGGCCCCGTCTCACATACCGCAAGTTGGTGCGCAAAGGGAGCCGGGAACCAGCTAAATACCGGAAGTTGCGCCTCGCGAGACTTGCAGGCCCTTTATTCCTTGGAGTTTTCTGACAAACTGAAACTATAATATTTTCACACTCCCATCAATATCTTTTCGTTTCGACAATTGTTAGTAGTTATATGGAAAAGAAGGAGGTTGCTTCCCACAAAGGGAGAATGGTTAGCACTTATTTAGTATTAGCCGAGTGTATCTTCGTACCGTACATATCGAGCATTAAGGATTATACTCACTTGTTATTCGTAATATGCGATATACGCTAAACGCTTTTAGTTCGTTACAACCGCAGTTTGTTATTACCCATTTTGACTAAAACATACAATCCAAGTGGTCGGGCCTAAAAGCAGTTCGTGATATTCGTTGGTTCATTAACAGCGTAGTTTATATAATATGGAAAAACAGAATGGTAATAAAAAAAATTATCACATAATGTCAGTTCAAAATGTACCAGATGCCGTGCTACACTGAGGTAACTTTCGAAATAACGTAAGAATAAAATGGCATTAGTGAAAGACCCTATTAAAAATATCGTGTCAAATGAATTGATTGGCACAAGCGTTTACTCATCCAGAAATCTCAATTCATCTAATTTTTTTCGGGAATTGTATGCAATGTTGTTTTTTTGTACAGATCATTTCAGAAGTACTTCCGGTTCTTTATTTGCATATTCATAAGTTCGTGATTACTGTGAGAGAGTGAGTATGATTCTACGCCGCTTTTAGCAATATTCCAGCAATATCACGGCGGAGGACACCAGAAATGGGCTTCACACATTGTACCCATGCAGGGAATGCTTTAACCACTAGGCTACCATTCCGCCCCCGTGATTACTGTGATACAATGTTTATCGGAATGGTTTGTTACAGCTACTATATGATAAAGCGTGGTAACGACTCGTTTGCAACTCCATGCTTTCCCTAATAACCATGGTCGCGGTGGGTGCCCCAGTGGTTAAAGCGTTCGCTCATAAGGCGAAGGCCCGGGTTCCATTCCGCACACGGGTACAATGTGTGACGCCCATTCTGGTTTCTTGATATTGCTGGCGTATTGCTAAAAGCGGCGTAAAACCCAACTCACTCACTCCTCATACCCTACTAATTATTCTTGGTCCTGAATCTTTACAGCAACATGCGGTGTGGGTTCAGCGTGTGCCAGCTGTACAGGCGCCATGGTGAAGACGTTGACCTTTGCATCAGGGAATTCTGTACAGGTCTGCTGCCCCAACTGCCGCAGTCGCTTCTTCAACTTCGGATCCACGACGAGTGGCGCCTACTGTAACTGTAACTTTGACCGTAAGTATCTGTCAGCGGCATGCTCGTAACCTAGGTTACATTGGTAATCAAATGGCCGAAATGACGCGAGACGGCAAGACGTTCAATAATAAATGTAACTCACCCTGTAAATTGCTAAATTGCTTAGTGGTGCTTTGGGGTGGTGGGGTAGCCTAGTGGTTAAAGCGTTCGCTCGTCACGGCGAAGACCTGGGTTCGATTCCCCACATGGGTGCAATGTTTGCAGCCCGTTTCTGGTGTCTCCCGCCGTGATATTGCTGGAACATTGCTAAATATTCCAAACTCACTCTCTAAGTGGTGCTTTACGCTCACATTCCGTAAGCTCAAAGTGAAGTGACTGAAAATAATTTTCCAGCGCAATACGATCATTGTACCCCGTGAAGATCTGGGTTAGAATTTGTTTTCAGTAACCCATGCTTGTCGTAAGAGGCGACTAACGGGATCGGGTGGTCAGGTTCGCTGACTTGGTTGACACGTCATCGTACCCCAGTTGCGTAGATCGATGCTCAAGCTGTTGATCACTGGATTGTCTGGTCGAGACTCGATTATTTACAGACCGCCGCCATATATCTGGAATATTGCTGAGTGCGGCGTTGAACAACATCCAAACCAAACCAAAACGATCATTGTAATTATAGGTGACCTTGCTGTTTGACGTGTCTGGTATTATGACGTCGTGACGAGCGAACGCTTTAACCACTAGGCTACCCCACCGCCCCCTGGCAATGAGAGAGTTACACCAGCTGCTTACTATCGACACACAGAATCCTGGATATAACAATTTTTTAGTTCCCTCATGAGATTTGTTGGAATCCAGAATCTGGTGTCCCCCTATGTTGCTGGGAGGGTGGTGAAAGCCAGATAACACACACTCACTTGCTCCTTATTTTCTAAGTTAAACCGTTACGATATGGCTGAAATATTGCCGATGTGACGTTAAATATCAACTCACTCACTCACTTTTGAAGTTAAAAAGATCCCCTTTACACAACTCCACTCTCCTTCTACGGCTACCGTTAACCAATGTTCACAAATGGAACTTACGATTGTTTTGGGGCGTCTTTGAAAGAGTGAGTGAGTATGGTTTTGCAATATTTTAGCAATATTCCAGCAATATCACGGCGAGGGACACCAGAAATGGGCTTCACGCGTTGTACCCATGGGGGGAATCGAACCCGGGCCATAAGTGTGACGAGCGAACGTTCTTACCACTCGGCTACCCCACCGCACCTTTGTTAAAGAGGAATCGGCCCAGTCGATATAAATTACAAAGTGAGAATAGTCGATATAAATTACACTTTCTTAGTTAAGAATCATAATCTTGAATATTCATCGACACAGGGGTGATTGGTAGCGCCAGAAAAGGGGAAGAGTGTTCTGCCCCTGGAATGACCACATACTTCCATCTCAACACTATGCCCATCTGCTGCCCGAATCCACTGGTGGCTGCACGAGTTGTTCCTAACGCTGCCAATGGAAGCTTTATCTTCAACTGTGGTAAGTCTCAGTCAATTTCCCGTTGTTTAAGTAAGAACTGGCTGTGTATTTGTTTCGGTTCATTGACCGCCTCCGTGATGTAGTGGTTAGAGCGCTGCCCGGAGACCGGAAGGCCACGGGTTCGATCCCCGGCCCCGTCATACCAAAAGGCGATAAAATATTATACTTGTTGGTCCCTGCCTGGCGCTCTGTATTCATAGGTACAACAAGGTCTGGTCGGGTCGGAGTCAGTATAATGTGTCTGAGTTGGGTATTCATGCTTAACTGCGGCATGGTATCTCAGTAAGCTAGCACTATAAGACCAGCTTAAGCCTCGGCTAGTACAAGCAGCCACACATACGCATGCACGTCGTCATATGAGCAAAATATTCTTAAATGCGACGTTAAACCCCATTTCACCTCAACTCACCTTTCGGTTCACTGGGGTATGAATCGGAAAACCGATGTACAAATCATAAGGATCCGTATCCATACGTAAATGGGATTCTCCCACAATTCATAGTCGTGACAGTACTCCGTTTTGATGGGAGCGAATTATTATTTCACATTCGCTGGGAAATGAATGCAATAACAGGGAACAGTTCAGCAAATCTGAATGCAGGAATTACAATGAACACCACGAAAATGTAATGATTACATCTTATACAGTTAAACTTCTTTAATCTGTATTTCCAGCGATCAATTCATTAGGTTCTCACAGTGACCTTTGACTTTTACACCCAAAGTAACCTGTTATGTATGAGATGATGCTATGACGTGTCTGTGTTTTCAGAACAACGTGGTGATTGCTGGAGAGGGAGTCAGTGCAGCGCCTGCAACCAGAGCTTCGTTGGCAACATCAACGGGGTGAACGTGTGCTGCTCCAACTGCGATGAGTACGGCCTCATTCTCGGGGGCGGCAGCTCCTGCAGCTGCAACCGTCCATAAAGACATCACACTCCGACCATCACACTCAGATCTGGATTCCACTTATACCTTATCCTTTATGCCCTCTTATATTTTATATTTAAAATGTAATAAAGTGTATCATTCAATGCATAGACAAATGTTTCATGCTGTCTTTCTCACATCTGAATACACCTTGTATGGTGTTGCTTGACAGACAGGCAGACAGACAGATAGTTTATTAAATAAAGTCACACCTTGTTAATAACATAAATAAAATTTTACATATACACTAAACGCCAAAAGAAACGTTACCCTCCTTCCTCAATGACGGAGGTACCTATCTTCAGCTGGCGTTGTGATGCGTGGACATCCACTTCTTGGTCTGTCTACCGTGATCCCAGTCTGTCTGAAGCCCTGAAGAAGTCTTATAACCGAGATACGGTGGTATCCGAAGGCGTTGGCAACAGCATTGTCGACCCCATCTGCACCATCCCAATGGCTCTTTCTCTCCCTTCAGCTGTTAATCGTTGCAAATTTCTCGTACGTGTGTTTTAGATCATGTCTTCTAGGCTCTCTTTATACCCTATAGAATCATTCTACTTATGAAATGGATGTAAATACTGCTTGAATATTGGTGCGTTTTGGCGATTGATATTGGTATGTGTAAACAGTAAATGGAAAGATGTTACTTTGCAAGCAAAAATGTTAAAGATAAGTTTGGATGTTCCTAAACATTTTTTCATAATATCAAAGACACGTTTTACTTGTTTTCACTCATGCAAATCAGCGGAAAATGTTTTAAAAGACTGAAATCATAGCAATGATAATTTTACAATTCTACACAATTTACAACAGTTGTTTCTTGTTTGAATAGCTGAAAAATGGTGACTTTAAATGCTTTATAATTGTCCCAAAGCAGAATATTTTATTTCAACCTTTCTTTTGGACATCAAAATCACTATTATTGGTTTATATTGGCATGGACGAATATAGGACAATTTAACTATTCTGAAAAAGATGCATTTCACCAAAATATGAATGCATTTGATAATTTATTTGCGTGAATTGCAAGAAGCAATTAAGCTTTCTTGTAAACTAAAACCTTCTTAAATATCTTTGATAGTTTTTCAGTAATTCATAAAGGTAGGAGGGTAACGTTTCTTTTGGCATCTAGTGTACATAAGAACATATATACTACTCACACTTTGCTAAGGATCACAAAAATTCACAACTTTACTTAAACGTAGATTTATAATTTGGAATTGTATCCATTTAAAACTGGATAAATAATGATATGGTAACACATTTTTAGGAAAACAGCCACTTTAGCTAACCGTATGCACTTGATACATGTGTAACCATAAAATGGTTTTCATGGCACAAATCAACCATTTTGCAAATCACGGCACGGGTCATTGACAAGTACACAACACCTGTCAATAGCAGGTATGGGATCCACAAAGTGCAGGGACATACTGAAAACTTGGATCTATGCTTACAATAGGCTTAGATATTTAAACCAAATTTGACCCCACATCATAGTTTTCTGTTGAAATACTGATTTGATCCTTAGCAAAGTGTGAATAGTATATTAAGATGTAACAAGCCACCCTGAGAGTCGTGAGAAACTATTTAACTATAAAATATTAACATATCATCATTGAAACTATCATTGAAACTAGCTTCATGGAAAGCATCATTGCAACTATCACGACAGTATATAACAAGTAGACTTATAAATTGAGGATTAAGGATAAAACCAAATAAAATATCACACAACATAAAAACGATTTGGACGCTATATAAAACATTTACCTTTAACATACATACTTAAAACCTATACATTAATATAATACAATTTCTGTTTTCGGATAGATGTGACCTGTGAAGGTCCGGGTTAGAATATTGATCTTCAGTAACCCATGTTTGTCTTAAGAGGCGACTAACGGGATCGGGTGGTCAGGCTTGCTGACTCGGTTGACACCTGTCATCGTATCCCAATTGCGTAGATCGATGTTCATGCTGTTGATCACTGGATTGTCTGGTCCAGACTCGATTATTTACAGACCGCCGCCATATAGCTGGAATATTGCTGAGTGCGGCGTAAAACTAATCTCACTCACTCACTCGGGTAGATATAATAGTTTTGCAGGTCTAGACCACAGCTAAAATCACTTCTGGTCCAGACAGTATAAAACCACCTTTCTGGGCATTATTAAAATTAGCAAATTCTGTGCCAGTTAAGATACCGTTATCGTAGAGGTCATCTCTGACATCTATATAAACTGGACAGTGTAGTAAAACATCGGCTTCATCTTCTCTAAAGTCGTTACATAATGGGCATGCTTTTTCTTCTAAAGAAGTGTTGTTGTAGCGTCTTGTCTCAGTTCGAAGAGGTGCTACTCCGCATCTATACTTGGCAATGGCGCCTCTCTGTGTACTACTAAGACGACTGTAATCGTGAGGTTCTGTTCAATGGCGCCTCTCTGTGTACTACTAAGACGACTGTAAACGTGAGGTTCTGTTCAATGGCGCCTCTCTGTGTACTACTAAGATCACTGTAAACGTGAGGTTCTGTTCAATGGCGCCTCTCTGTGTACTACTAAGATGACTGTAAACGTAAGGTTCTGTTCAATGGCGCCTCTCTGTGTACTACTAAGATGATTGTAAACGTGAGGTTCTGTTCAATGGCGCCTCTCTGTGTACTACTAAGACGACTGTAAACGTAAGGTTCTGTTCAATGGCGCCTCTCTGTGTACTACTAAGACGACTGTAAACGTAAGGTTCTGTTCAATGGCGCCTCTGAGTACTACTAAGACGACTGTAAACGTAAGGTTCTGTTCAATGGCCTCTCTGTGTACTACTAAGACGACTGTAAACGTAAGGTTCTGGTCCAAAGTCCTTTTAGTACAGTAAGCTCTTAGTTTATTGCCTTGGACAGCATTTCTTACTGATTTGATGGTTCTTTTATACTAGCTACTACGTATCATAACAACGTATGGCATGGATTTACAACTTCTTTATTATTTACAATCGACGTTTCTGGGCTACTTCTTGCCCTTTCATCAGGTGAATGACAGAGTATGATTTACATGAAAAGACTATAGTACGTACAGGAGGCAGTGAGATGGAATTAAAGATTGAGATGTACAGATATCAAGGAGATTAAACGATATGTTTTGATTGAGGTGTACAAAGTGGTATGTTTATGCAAAAGATTTATATAGAGATATCAGAGATATATTATGTAGTTCCTGTCATAAGTATGATTAAGTTCTTTAGACGGACTGGTTTCAATAAAATCAAACATATGGTGGATTCTAAAAACCTGGTTTCGCTTACGACGAGCTCGAGATGCCCAGAGGTGAAAATGAAAACTCGGTAAACCAGTCGACTTGAGTCCATATTTCGGAGTCTCATACATATACGACCCAGTCACAATGTCCCATTGTCGAACCACTGGTGGAATCCAACCCGTGTATCGCTTTGCTCGGTGCATTCTTCCGTACCCCGAGGAAGAATCTCATCGCTCTGTTTTGTATAGTTTCGATTCATGACATTTCATGCGTTCCCCATTAACGTTGCTCCAAGGCTGTACTGAATTCTGAGCCCATGGAGGCAAGTCTGGAGGAATATTTATAATTTTTTTTAGAAATTATGATTTATACTATTAATTATTACCTTAGAGACTTGTGCAAGTCTAGTTCCCCATACACAATCGCCATACTCTATAGCTGACTACATAATAGAGTCATATAGCTTGTAAAGGTTTTGAACACTACCCCTCCTCCTACTTACTTGTACTTTGTAAGTTTGTTACATATGTTATACTTGGGATTACACTTTCTTTGTATAGTACAAATTCTAGTACTTTTGTTGGGTTGAGCCCCATGCGGGATTCGAACCCACACCTTCAGAATCGCACATAAAGTCAGCCGCCTGACCCGCTCAGCCACCGCGACTTCCACAGTTGTACTTTGATATTAAAACACCCAGGGTTCTACTGGCGGGGTTTGCTTAAATCTTGCCATATGATTATAATCAAGGTATTCTATTAAAAGAAATTCCAGATTGTTGTACAACTCCAACAACTCCAGGGTATCTTCACCGCATTTAAAAACAGCATCAGTGCGAGTTATAGATGCGGTCCTTAATGTACAACCTTCGACTTGCAAACATTGTTCATAGAATTGTTATTGCACCATGTATTTATACCCAGTAAAAGATTCAAGTCATTTTCTGATTCAGCTAAAAGTACAATAGCATCTGCGTATGCTAGGATTCCAACTGTTTCCTCGTTGATAACGATACCCGCTGATAAATGGTTGGTAGATGTGAAAAGATCATTAATGTACAGGTTAAACAGAATTGGCGACAGTAAACAGCCTTGTTTTAGTCCACAATTTATATCAAACCACTCTGAATGACATCCGTTGAGTCTCACAGAGACTAACAGCTAGTTTCTGAAATAAACATATTTTACAGAAAAAAAGGTTTTAAATTAAAATGAAATTCAATAAAAAGAAACCTAGAGAATTTCTTCATTTTCATAAACTGTGGTAATCTAGACTTGCCACACATTCTAGACTTGCATGAGCTGCATTGGGTATATTTGTTTCAGGGTCTGCATGACAGACTAAGCCTTACACAGCACTCGACTATAAAATTAATTGCGTTCAGCATGCTGCCTTTTACGTGAGCTTCCAACAGCTTAGTGTACATTTTCCTCCTGTCAACACACTCGTAGGCTTTACAAAATCAATGAACGCTGCTCAAGTCGATTTCTTCATATATTTCCAAATTTCTATCATTGATGTAATGTAATAGATGCCTGGGTGCTATCAGGTAATTTATATAATGGACAACCAATCAACGCCGTGCAAAGAGTCAGCACAAGCGGGATTGGTGAGACGGCTGTCATATCATATCATCATATAAAACATTTATATAGTGCCAATTCCTGTCCAAAAGTACTGCTCTCCGAACAACTCAAGAATGAGGTATGTCTTCAGTTTAGATTTGAAAACCTTCAGGTTGTTAAACTTGTCCTTAACTCCAGTGGAAGTTGATGCAAGAGAGTGGGTCCTGCCACCTGAAATGATCGATCCCCAAACCTGGTACTGGACCTAAAGTGTGGGACAACAAGACCAAGATTTTCAGATCGGACGCTTCGGTTGGGCTGATATCTACGGTGGCATAATAAGGCCCTGTTTTTTTCTTTTTTTCTTGAAATTTCAAGATTGTACGTTGAAATTTCAAGATGTACGTTGAAATTTCAAGATGTCGATCTTAAAATTTCAAGTTAATAAGTTGAAATTTCAAGATATTTTACTTGAAATTTCAACTTAATGATCGCGTAAAACATCCTTTCAAACTATGAGTCCATTAGACTGACATTTACGATGCATCCACCTGTAACCATTACAATTACCCGATGTGTCACACTGTTGCAAAATGAACAAAGCCACTTCCATGATATCAGAATGGCCTTTTCTCCCGTGAAGTTGCAGCTATATAAACATCCTATAATAATCCTATAATTCTTGCCAGACAGAAGTAACCCCATCCTAACGCTACTACAAAAATACATAGAGATGATATTGTCTCTGCTTTGCTCCATTGTCATCGGCCACAATTCGTGTACAGAGAATTTGGAAATGCGCATAATGAACGAAGAACATTTCATTGAAGTACTAATTCTCTTGAATTTTCATGATACTAAGTTGAATTTTCATGATACTAAGTTGAATTTTCAAGATACTAAGTTGAATTTTCAAGAAAGGATGTTGAATTTTCAAGATAGCAAGTTGAATTTGTAAGATAGTAAGTTGAATGTTCAAGATACTAAGTTGAATTTTCAAGATGCTAAGTTGAATTTTTAAGATAGTAAGTTGAATTTTCAACATAAAAGATGCTGAATAATAGCGTAGCGTGGCCCTAATAGGCTTCCGTAGATATCTGGTGATCAGGTCAGATAGATGCTTTGGAGCTAGGTTATTGAGACACTTGAAAACAAAAAGGTTGAGTTTGTATTGGATTCTGTCTGATATGGGAAGCCAGTGTAATCTCTGCAGAACAGGAGTTCTGTGTGAGTATTTTTGTGATCTGGAAACAAGTCTAGCAGCAAAATTCTGTATGCGTTGGAGCTTTCCTATTGAGAATTGGGGCAGGCCATAGAGTAGGCAGTTACATTAGTCCATCCGAGATGAAATATGGATCAATGAACAGGTTGTCCTCTCATCAAGGTAGCGACGGATTTGCGAGATGTTTCGTAAGTGGTAGAATGACTTGCTGTAAAGTGACTACATATGAGCATCCAGAGATAAGTGAGAGTCAAAAATAACACCAAGGTTTCTTGCCTCGGGACTTGGGACAATGATTTGACCGTCAATGTGGAGGTCTGGTAGAGGAAGATGTTCAGCAGCTCGCTTTTAGGTAATGATGAACTTCTGTTTTCTCTCCATTCAGCTTCAGCCAGTGTGTTTCATCCAATGTTTGATTGCCTGTACGCAGCTCTCAATTTGCGCAAATGCTGTAGTGGATGATGGGCGACAAGTTGGCTCGAAGGACAGATACAACTGTGTGTCATCAGCGTAAAAAGGTGGACGGAAAGACTGTAACACCTGGGCACATAATGTCAGTGGCGATTATACTTGCCGTTCGTGACCAATTCATGTTATTCCGGCACATGGCGTATGAACATCAGAACTACTTCAAACAAGAACGATAACTCTATTTCTGTGTAATTCGAACAATAACTAACGTTAGAGAAGCGGTCGAAAATTGCTGTTAAATATATACTATCCCAAAAAAGAAACGCATAGGCGTTTTCTATTTTTGAAAATCTATTAATTACCTATTGTGTTCAAACAATCGTCAAACTATGTAACAAAAGTGTTGATAACATGATTTCACACAATTGCACAAGTAAAAATCGACTTTACCTGAAAATGTTGATTTTGATGAGATTTCTTACAAGGATTAAAAAGGCATTGCCACAACGCAACAGAAATCACCTTCCAGTTGAAATTGTGCATCAAAGCGCATGCACTGTCTGGCTATAAAAATCCAGATTACATTCGGAAATCGGCATTCCTTTTGAAGGAGTTTCAACGTCAAATCACTACGCCACGTCCGGACGCTGCGACACCGAACCTCGCCATTGAAAAAATGCACGCTGGAGATTACCAATCTTCTGAATGTTGGGTCTGAGCACGATATCACGGCTTACAGCTCGTTACAACCAAACAGGTATAACAAATGACCTTCCCCGTACAGGCAGACCTCGAGTCACCACTGTAGCCCAAGATCGGTACATCCGGGTACTATTTGCGTGATCGTACTGCCACGGGTGAGAGCACAACAGCCAGGGTGCCTGGACTTCGGAGGATATCCGGTCAAACTGTACGGAACATTTTGAGAGAGATTGGACTGAGAGCCATGAGATCCGACGTCGGGCCCGTGCTACGCCGTCACCATGGCGCTCAACGTCTCCGTTATCTAAAATTATCCACTTGGTTGTATAGACATATCCATCTTCTAAACTGATGCAAAAATTCATGTACTAAAGTCTATTTGTGGACGAGTTATACATGTTAGAAAATGCAACATTTTCGCAACAGATTTCTGGGTTATGCGGTTCTTTTTTGGAATAGTATAATTCAGGTTCTCTAAAATTGTAGTTTTCGAACACAGTTGGTACCTCAGATCTATGAGAAAAAGCATAGATTTCCTCTAAATATAAAGATAGTACATTAAGTCGGAAAATGCCACCATTGTAGGAGGAGTGAGTGAGTTTAGTTTTACGCCGCTTTTAGCAATATTCCAGCAATATCACGACGGGGGACACCACAAATGGACTTCACACATTGTATTCATGTGGGGAATGGAACCCGGGTCTTCGGCTTGAGGAGCGAACGCTTTAACCACTAGGCTACCCCACCGCCCCTGTAGTAGGAGGAAGAATAAATGTAGTGAGTCACTTTTCATGTTGCATAATGGCTGTACTCGTTGACCCCCTTCAACTCGTTTGTATAGACATTCAGTGATGTTTATATTTCGAACAGCTCCAAGTCTCAAGTCTTTTTCCATTTCACATGCATTTGTAGAATCAATACATCAAACTTCCCATTACCATCTCATCTCATTCACTGTTCGTTTGTTAAGTGCAAGATATAATCATGCTAGAATCATCATCAGAAGGTTGCTGGCAAACACGACTAAAGAGGATCAACCAAGAACGTGTTAGAGAATAACAACCAGATCGAACAAAAGTCGATTGACGCTCTAGGTAAATACATCACTTTCTTTTTCTCATAAAGACATCGCTACAACTCCATCGAGCATTGTTTTCTGTGAGAATCGATCTTAGTAAACGGAAGTTTGAGGTTTTTGTCATCCAACAAATACACCTAGCGGAACTGATTCAGTCAAAGGTCAGAGTAAACGGGCTGGTGGAAGAGAGCCTGTGTATAGCAGCAACTTTCATGTCGAGATGCTGGGGTTTGTCCTGTTCATGTTTGTGGAAGTTGAAGGAAGTTTCAATTCTGAGTACTACAATGCAGTTGACCCGTGTTTCAACACAACCGTTCCCCCCAGAAATGGTTCAAGCAACAATGGCTGATTCGGTTCCTGCCTGTGCTCTTCTGTGCTTGGAAAGCGACCAGTGCCAATCCTTCAGCGTAAGCAAAGACTTGCCCAGCGCTTGCTATCTGAACACATACCTGCTGGACAATGCTGGCTGTGTTGATGTGCAAAGGAACCACTACAATGTGAAAACGGTAAATAATGTCATCGTGTCCTATCACAATCCACATCATGGTCAGACCGCCTCCGTGGTGTAGTGGTTAGAGCGTCCGCCCGGAGAGCGGAAGGTCGCGGGTTCGATCCCAGACCGCGTCATACCAAAAGACGTTAAAAATATGGTACTTGTTGGTCCCTACCTGGCGCTCGGCATTAATGGGTACAACAAGGACTGGTCGACTCGGAGTCAGTATAATGTGTCTGAGTGGGATATTCATGCTTCACTGCGGCATGGTATCTCAGTGGGCTAGCACTATAAAACCAGCTTATGTCTGGGCTAGTACAAGCAGCCGCACATACACATACACACGCATGCACGTCGTCATATGAGCGAAATATTCTCAAGCACGACGTTAAACCCAATTTCACCTCACCTCACCTCACCTCACCTTACATCACGGTCATGATCATGATTATGATGATGATCGTCATCATCGTTGTCGTCGTTGTCATGATCACACTGGGCGGTGGGATAGCCTAGTAGTTAAAGCGTTTGCTCGTTACATCGAAGACCCGGGTTCGAGTTATCTATGGTAAATATATGACGTGTCGCCCAGTAATGGAGGCAGAGTATGAAATAAGGCCCGTCCGACCGCCCGAGACGGTCTAGATCTCTGACGGACGGTCTAAATTTACAGCTAGCGAGCCCGATGGTCTGGTAAAATGTTTAGATGTTCCATACATCTGAGTAAATCCACCATATTTGGTTTGTCTAAATCCATTTTGGGCTGGTAATATTTTGAAGTTACCAGCCCTGATGTCAGGCTGGATTTTGGGCTTATTTCATACACTGATGGAGGCCATCATAATGAAGTCAAAACATCTAAATTGAGGTAATATACATTCAATCATTCATTCGATTTTCAGAATTGTAAAAGCTTCATGAACAAATTTGGTTGGCTACTGAAGACTATGTTGTAATTTTGTAACTCCGGAAGGTACTAGTTGAATAACTTTTGGCTCATCTATCACTTGATTGTCTGGTTTGTTTCCGGGACGACGCTACTCAGGAGTACTGATGTGTGGCGTATGGCAGTAAATGCTTACTTCTTATGCGCATTATGTGCATGGTGGAGGGTACTGGTAGACCAGGGCGTACCGTTTTCGCGAACACCTGGTGTCCTCACTGATTTCCAGTGGTCCAATCATACAATTTTCACGGCTGTTTTTCCCATTATGCCAAATAGAATCTGTTTCTGTGGTTAATGAAGACTGGTTATTCTCTTGCATTTACGTTTTATATTCCAACTTCTTTAGAAAGAATTGGCCTTCAGCAACCCATTCTTGTTAGGCGACTAACGGGGTCGGGGGGTCAGGTTCGCTGACTTGGTTGACATGTCATCTTATCCCAACTGCGTAGAACGATGCTCATGATGTTGATCACTGGATTCTCTGGTCTAGACTCGATTATTTACAGACCGCCGCCATATAGCTGGAATATTGCTAAGTGCGGCGTTAAACGACACACCAAAAGCTTTAGATGGGACAGGCGTCCTACTCGCAGGTCGCTGTCCCTTAGGGACGCCAGGAACCTATTTTGTGGCCATAAACGTCTTCGAACTGCTTCACTTCGGGATTTACTCCCACATTAAGAAGACAGACAGTGCTATAGTGCTATATAGAATACTCTTCAAAGCGGCGTTAAACCCAACTCCCAAACTGTTTTAGGTAAAAGAACTTTAAGTTATATGCAGTGAGTGAGTTGGATTTTACGCCTCTTTTAACAATACTCGAGCAATAGAAATGGGCACCTATGCACCTATGTGGAGAATCGGACTAGGGTCTTCAGCGTGACGAGCGAACGCTTTAACATCTAGGCTACCCCTCCGCCCTTAAGTTATATGCAATATGCAAAAAGTATACAAGAGGTTTCAACATTAAATTATGTTTTCCTTGCATTTGTATTATTATTTTTTTGTCATTTTCTAAAATCGTTTTCTTTCGAGGATTCACCATGCCTAAACGGCGGCACCTACAACTCCACCACTTCGACATGTCGCTGCTACCATGGCTTTATTGGACATTATTGTGAAAGACTCATGTATGGTATGATGTTTAATTTGTCTAGTCTTTGGCTCAGATAAAGGTATGATATAAAACGTATACTGACTAAGGCAATACAGTGTTTATATCCTTGATGGGGTCTTGCATATACAGTATTTGTAAGTGTAAGTATGCTTTCTTTCCACCAGATTGTATTCCGAACTCAGGCAAAACATATCAGGATCTAACGTTCAAAGAATTTGTATTTTGAAAAAACGTAAACAAAGTTTCAAATAGGACGTTTCACATACAGAACTTTTGTTCCGATCTGAAAAAGATACAGAGTATTGCAAAAAGTATTCGAACACTTGACGTCACGTATTCATTCCATAGACTTACATGTTAATTTAGTGTAGCATAAATACTTTTCATGAATTTAATTTTCGTAAGATCTAAGTCAAATTTTGCACATTTGTGAGGAATCATCTTACCTACAATTGCATAATTTCTGTTTAATGTTCCGTTGCTTATTTATCGAATGGCAACAATTTAATCAACATGTGTACAGTGCCGTGAACGCCTTCAACATGGCGGCCTACGGGGTTGTGCATTGTGGAACCATACGTAACTTGAGAAATGTGATGTCATTAGTTAAATATAATGGGCGGAAAATCGAACTGAAATTATGTGCGCAGAGCAGAGATGATTTCAAATTTGCCTGTCAAACTTTACAAAGATCTATCTTAAACTCACTTCATGAAAATTATTTATCCTACACTGAAATACTAGCAACATGTAAGTCTATGGAAATTAGATCTGCGTCATGTGTCCGAATACTTTTTGCACCGGCTTGTAGTTTGCTGGTACTATCATTGGTTCTTAACCATGTATGGACATCATGTTATCTTGTATGGACAATAGACCTACCATTAGAAGCATAATTTGATATTTACGATAATGTCTCCGGTGACCTGAAAGGGTATCAACTGGTCTGTTCCTTGTACCGCGACCAAAATAAAACGCTTTATCAACCTACCTCACGTAAAACGGGTCATCTCAGACAGTCTTTTTGAAATCGAATCATATGGTTGTTTTGTAGACTATATAATCAGATATGTGTATTGTAAATCCCCGGGATGTGAATTGTAAAGTAAGTTCCCAGACCTCTGCACCGATGATTTCTAAACCTAGGATATTATTCATGATTGATACAACTTTGTCACTGATCGTAAAATATCACATTATTGAAAACTTCCAATATATAGTGGCGATAACTGGTTTCGAATCTGCAACCCTTCTCTCTCTAACTTGGCGGTTTTATCCACTAGGCTATGAAGGATGGCTGTAATAAAAAGAGATTGTTTGTCAGTATGAAACGTGTATTCCTCACAAGACGGGTACTACGGGCAGCGCACGTGCAGGACACGGGTAGCACGTGCATAACGCGTGCAAGGCAAGGTGTTGGCGGCCAGTCGCATCCCAGTTGACACTGGCTGTTCCATCATTTGCGGGCTGTCCCATCAATGTTGTTCTGCTCGGGGCGTATTGATGTCGATCGTATATATTATTTTAAAATATATTTTACGCAAAAACGGTTGATAAGTCGGAGAAAGCACTCCTACTCGGGTTTACTAGAGATTTACTAGATTCACAATCTCTAGTAAACCCGATTAGGAGTGGTTTCTCTAATACATATTGCAGGTTATGCACAGAACGCTTACTTCCATATAACGGAGCTGTTTATTCAACGGACTGTTATTTTAGTCAGCTAAGTCCGGATTACAGGGCATTGTCCTCATAGCAAGTTGATTGTTGGGACTGTTATCTTAGTCCGTAATCCGTAATTGAGAGAGTCCGGATTATAAAGCAAGCTTTAATGATAAATTAAGAACAATTTTGCCGGGAATCAGAGAGTAGTCCGGGTTATGGAGAAAACCGGATCACACAGAGCCCGGATTTGACAAACACCACTTTATACACATTGGTGTTTCAGACTGTACAGAGGGCTCTCAATCTCCTCATTACACTGACCAGAAAGGCCTTTTCTACATCCTTCCCCCAACCGCCTCCTCGCCATTCAAGGTCATGTGTAACATGAAATATGGCGGTAAGGTGTACCTGATGAGGAAAGACGCAACGTACCCTTATGTGGATTTCAACCGGACTTGGGAGGAATACAGAGACGGATTCGGAGATCTTACACTAGATGGGAACTTTTGGCTGGGGAACGAGAAGATCTTCCTCATCTCGACCTACCGGGACATGAAGCTGAACATCCAGATGTACCATAACAGTGACTTCTATCAACACTTTTATAAACAATTTAAGGTATCTGTGTATGTCTGGGTGGATTGATGAATGAAACTGTTTTGTTTTTTGCGCCGAAGATGATATTTAAGCCATGCAAACGGCGTCCTGTAATATGCTTCGGCCAAGTAAATAAGAGTCAAGTGTCCTGGAGTACCATCGATGTACTGCCGTTGCCCTATGTTTCCACAAGATCGTACACTGGAAACGTCTCATCCTCATTAGTTGGCCCTTGAGTTTTACTGGGGACGTATTCTATTAGGGGTTATTCAGGAGTGGAATTGCAGGAATAGCTTACGTACTATAAACACGTAAACGGGTAGCGTACTCTCGCGCTCTTATTTAAAGTTATTCAAAATTAGTACCGGTCTCGATTTACGGACAAAAGAAAATATACATTCTTGCCTGATGGCGGCATTGAGCCTTTGGGGCGGTCAATATATTTAGAAAAATCCATTTTTGAAGTGCCCGATAGTGTACAATGTGAATGACAAGCAATACTCTAGGGTATTCTAAAGCAGATTGTTTGAAAGGTCATTGGTCCAGGTGTTACGAAGCTGGATGATCTTTGATGACATAATGTTTATGAGAATATTCCTAAACTGTTACTTTGTTTCAGGTGCTAAATGAGTCAAGCGGTTATAAGGCGTCGTACATTCACCATTTCGGTAATAGCAAACACAATTTCACCCATTATCTCGACAACTGCATGAAAGATCAGAATGAGATGCTATTCACCTCTATCGACCGCGACAACGACCTCAAAAATGGCGAGAACTGCGCGCAAATACGTCTGTCTGGATGGTGGTACAACGAATGCGGCGGTTGTAACCCGACAGGGAAACTACAGAACAGGTCTGATATTTACCAGGACTCAGATCCGATCTACATGTCTGTTCCCGTCCCAGGCAATTGGACCCCTACACTTATGGAGTTAAGTCTTAAATGAATTAACATTCCATAAATCTGAAGAGTGAATGAAAAACGCTTTCTAATATAATGATGATAATAATAATAATAATAATAGTCCACTTTATTAGCACCATTCCAGGATGAATATCTTGCTGAAAGTGCTATTATTAACTCAATGTTAATTATGCAAAATCACAAGTTGCAGAAGTTGAAGTGTGTGTAGGCAATGTGAAGACATGGATGACCGCAAGTAAACTCAAACTAAACGATAACAAAACAGACATTCTCATAGTTTGTTCACCAGCCAACAGAGCTAAACTGAGCGTGAATTCACTTAAGATAGGTGAATCTCAGATCTCCGTGAGCCCTACAGTAAAAAACCTGGGTGTCATGATAGATTCTACACTTTCTATGGAGCCACACGTCAGCAACTTATGTAAAATCTGTTATCACTTAAGGAATATCTCCAGCATACGCCACCTATTAACAACTGACGCAACACACCATCTTGTAAGATCTATGGTGTTGTCCCGCTTACTACTGTAATAGTCTGCTTGGGAACATGAACAAAGACCTGCTCTCCAGTTTGCAAAAAGTCCAAAATGCAGCTGCCAGATTGATCTGAAGAACCACCAAGCACAGCCACATCTCCCCAATCCTCATTAGTCTGCACTGGTTACCACTCCCAGCTAGGATAGAATACAAAATACTTAGCATGACTTACAGATGTCTTAACAACGCAGCTCCATCCTATCTCTCTAGTCTTGTAAGGGAGTATGTTCCAACCAGGACTCAGATCAGCCAATCAGTCGCTGCACATCATCCCAAATGCACGTCTGAAGACATATGGACACCGACGTTTTTCCTACTTGTCACCTATCCTCTGGAACAATCTGCACGTGTCTCTCAAAGAATCCCCCTCAATAGCCAGCTTCCAGTCTAACTTGAAAACTTTCCTGTTCAAGAAGCACTATGACATCTAAATGAACTCATGTTGCAAATATGTATATAGTTAGCGCCATGAGCAACCACTTGGTGATTGGATATAGGGCGCTATACAAATGGACTTATTATTACCCCGGATAACACAAGCTGCCTGTGAGGCGCTAGAAGGCTAATAGTCTCATGACTTATTTCACCGGGTACCCATTTTCTAATGATTTGGTATCTCTCTATCTCAAGTGTTTTGCTACGTACCAAGGTATCATTGTTGATATCTTTGCATCAAATGGTTGAAACAAATGTATGCGGAAGACCAAAATCACGAATACCTTTTTTGATTAAATTGCAATAGTAATTGCAAAGAAGGAGTGAAATACTATAAACTAGGGGATATAGAATAAAAAGGTGTCACAGCAGTGGATATTTTCTATCATAAATAATCGATTTTTCGTTGTGTTCCTGCATTTCGATTGGCTGATCTGGTCACGTGTTATTAAATTCATTTCCCAATGAATGTAAAAAATTAAGCCACGCCCATCAAAGCGGACCTCTTTCACCACTATGGATTGTCGGATCGTTCAAACCACGGAAAGGAATGAAACAAGATACCTGCAAGGCCTTCAGGCTCGTTTGCTGACAGTCTGACCGTTAAAACTCCCGCCTCTTACCGTGATTGACAGGTCTTGCGAACCATGTTTTGATGCCACTCTCCGTTGATTCGCTAATGATTTGTGTGCATGTCAAGTTATGTACATACATTAAACACTCGCCTGATACATAGACTGTGAAATGTTTTTCGTTGTCCAATATAATCACCGTGTTCAACTTTTAATACGTTTTTCCAATCAGCGTGTTCACCTATTATAATAAGCATTCCCAATCAGCGTGTTCACCTTTTTAATAAGTATTTCCAATCAGTGCGTTCACCGATCTTAATAAGTATTTCCAATCAGCGTGTTCACCTATTATGATAAGTATTTCCAATCAGCGTGTTCACCTATTATAATAGGTATTTCCAATCAGTGCGTTCACGGATCTTAATAAGTATTTTCAATCAGCGTGTTCACCTATTATAATAAGTATTTCCAATCAGTGCGTTCACCGATCTTAATAAGTATTTCCAATCAGCGTGTTCACCTATTATAAGTATTTCCAATCAGTGCGTTCACCGATCTTAATAAGTATTTCCAATCAGCGTGTTCACCTATTATAATAAGTATTTCCAATCAGTGCGTTCACGGATCTTAATAAGTATTTCCAATCAGCGTGTTCACCTATTATAATAAGTATTTCCAATCAGTGCGTTCACCGATCTTAATAAGCATGTTCAATCAGCTTGTTTACCTAATTAAATAGGTATTTCCAATTAACATGTTTACCTTTTTAATAAGTATTTCCAGTCAGCGCGTTCACCTTTTTAGTAAGTAATTCCAATCAGCTTGTTCACCTATTTTTATACGTATTTCCAATCTGCGTGTTCACCTATTTTCATAAGTATTTCCAATCAGCTTGTTCACCTAATCAAATAGGCATTTCCAATTAACGTGTTCACCTTTTCAATAAGTATTTCAAATCAGCGTGTTCGCCTATTTTAGTAGGTATTTCCAATCAGCTTGTTCACCTATTTTAATAAGTATTTCCCATCAGCTTGTTCACCTACATTAATAAGTATTTCCAATCAGATTGTTCACCTTGTTATTGAGTATTTCCAATCAGCGCGTTCATCTTTTTAATAAGTATTTCAAATAAGCGTGTTCAACCTTTTAATCCGTATTTCCAATCAGCGTGTTCACCTTATTAATCCCTAGTTCTTATCAGCGTGTTGTTGCATCTGTTCAATTGACATACTACATGTGAAGCTTTGTCAACTAATAAACACGTCATAACGTCACATAGTTGTGTGATAAATCAATATTCTCTGCAGAGAGAGAGAGAGAGAGAGAGAGAGAGAGAGAGAGAGAGAGAGGGGGGGGGGACGTTTTGCTCTCACGTCTCCACTTCACTTTGTGTATCTGACTGTCCGTCATGTTTGTGTGTGTATTAGGGGAGCTTGTTGTTGGCTGATTCCGTTGCTAGATGTCTGTTCTTTATTCCTAGATTGTCTCAGGCGGTGTCTGTTTCTCCTCAGTATGCCTCTGTGTGAAGAACACATGTACAGGATCTTGGTTTAGTATTCTGTGAGCATTGAGGGACTCCAATTATCTGTTGATGAATCCAGAACTGTGATTGTCCAGGGTTTGGTGGGGGGCGAGTCTTTTGCAGTTCAGTCATTGATTTCTGGCTTTCCCTTCTTTCTTGCAAGTTCTCTTATCGTGTCTTTGATTCTTGCTATAATTTCGTGTTGACATCAGTAGGGGAGTCCATACCTTTCTTAGAAACAGAATTTCCATCAGGCTTGGGAGCTTCGGGTGAACTGGGATTGATCAAAGGTAAGTAAGACATGTTTCACACCTTCTTCACCTTTCCTCGTGACTGCTCTTGCCAATAGAACAGGTTACACACATTCTTTCAATGAACATTCATTCATCTTTGGCCTTTGTGTCAGTTTCAATGACTTCAGATGATTGTTCTCAATGCTGAGGTGACCCTTTGATAAGAATCTCTTATTCCATAGCTTTTGGCAGGGGCATTTTTTCAGCCATCTTCGACTGAGAGCTCATCCTTTGTCTCAGGTCAGCGAGACTTTTCAGTTCACTCAATCACTGCATAGTATAAATGTTCCATAAGGGCGTCTTTCCCTCCTATGGTTTCTGGTAATCACTCCTGGCCCTTGTAATGGTTTGTTCCATAATGCGTTCGTTGAGTTCTGTAGCATTAAATCTGTGCTTGTCTTGGACAATGTGTTACACAATGGTAGTGTTTCGTCCTTCCGTTGACATCAATAATGCAGCTTCAGTCTAGCCTCTCTTAAGCGTCCTAGTGAATCGAGTAGCTGTTCAAAACGGTCCCATATATAATCATGATACATTTCAAGCTCTTCTGTAAGAATTCATGAGTTTTACCGCGTGAAAGCCCCATCTCAACTAAGTTTTCTGGTACTTTGATTTTCCTCATTGACAGTAATGCTTTTGAAATACCATGTTACTTTTAGTTTGAACAAACACAACACTTCAGTGATACGGTGCGATGCCCAGCCAACCCATCGTGGAACGTCTTCCATTCTGATAATTCATGTGGGAATAATACTTCATACAGCGTAGATCGATATGCCACACTTAATATGTGCAGGCAGTTTAAAACCTAGATGTGTTTTGAAGCATTTTCTCTTTGGGAAAGTTCTAACAATGTTTATCATTGACATGACCTATTCAGATTCTTATACTGCATTTAGACTTCGCTAATCTGCCTGTAATTTCCATGATGCTGACACAGTAAACACTCACATCGATTCCTTGATGCATTTCCGCTGTCACAATTTAAGTTTTTCATTGAAAACAATGAATTCATTCTGAGTTGTATTTTCTTACAGTGTCCATGATATCCAGTCCTTGTTTCCGACAGACCACCTTCACGTGTGTTCTATAAGACTCAATTGCTTTCCACGGTTCACTCATGAGTATAAACGAGATCCTATACGTGATACTCAACAGCTATCCCCATAGGCTATAGGGCTTTTTAGGGGTGGTAGGGTAGCCTACTGGTTAAGGCGTTCGCTCGTCACGTCGACAACCCGGGTTCGATTTTCTACATGGGTACAATGTGTTAAGTCCATTTCTGGTGTTCACACAAGGATGTTGTTGTTGGGATATATAGAAACGGCGTAAAACCATACTCACTCATTCACTACAACGTTTTTGGCGATGATAATTTGGGGGCAAATAATGTCTAGAAGTGTACAGATACGTTACCAAAGGCTTGCTTTTTCACCTCAAGTGGTTGTGGAATAATTACAAGCTGATTAAAATCCGACATTTCTTTATCATCTAATGAACATTAAAAATAATGGACAGTAATTTGTCAATACAAGGATGTTATAACATGCTATGACTCTTGCCTTTGTGTAAACGTGGGACTATACGCGGAACGAAGCAACTGCACGTTCATCATAAATATATCGTCACGACTTCAGTGATGACTTTTACATCGAACTATGCCCTTAGACCCTTAGATTTATAGTCACAACTAGAAGAAGCTGGCGAAACTAGCTGAAATCGTTTAAACCTACCTTCATGTTTACAAACTAG